CTTAGTTAATTTCACCAGACTATATTTTTGTATTTTTATAAATTAATTGGTTAATGCACTTTCCATTGCTCCCATTCGAAGTGTTTACTAGATGAATGACGAATGACTACTGTTAATTTTACCGGAATATCTCCGTTAATCTGCTTGAAGACGATTGCAATTTCCAGATAAACTCGTCAATTTCACTGCGCTATATCTGTTAATTCCTCGACGACCTCGACTGCTCGCGTTCGGGTGGTTTGCCAAACAGGTATGCGAAATAAAATTAATCAGACTATATCATTCAATCCTCTAGATGGCACCCACTACCCATGTTCGATGTTTTTTTTTATATCGAAACAGCCGCGCAGGCAGAAACCTAAATGCCGGAACACCGCGGCTGCTATGATGATCCCAAAGAAATTTTGTTAATACGATTTTTGAACTGCCTAAGGTTAGTAGAACTGGGAAAAGCTTCCTCCCGTTCCACAATCCACAATCTAGACACCCTCGGGACAAAGGAGCGGTCGTATCTGCCAGTTCTGGATGTACGAAGCTTGACACGGTTAGAATGGGACGCCGAAGTCAGGCGGGTCTGTCTGGCAGGCACATCGCGCGGCGGCATCATGGAAGAGAGCCCTGAGGAGCAAAGCCCGTTGGTGTAGCGATAGAAAAGAGCTAGATCGCCGACGACCCGTTGGTGCGAAAGAGCCCCGAGACTGTCTGTTAGAGAAGAGTCATTGATCAGTCGGACCGCCCTCCTCTGGACAGCGTCAAGCATGGACAATGTAGTCGGGGCGGCAGCACCCCAAATGTGTGAGCAATACTCGAGGCTAGGCCTTATCCGGGCCTTGTATAGAGTGAGAAGGTCATGCGGAGAAAAGTACTTCTTAGCCCTAAACAAATAGCCTAGCTTTTTCCCAGCAGCTGCAGCTATTGAAGAGATGTGTTCGTGCCAGATCAGGTCCTCGGTGAGCTGGACTCTGACCAGCCGAAATGAATGGCTCTTTGGTAGAACTCGACCGTCCATCGAAACTGTATGAGCGCTAGGGCGCTTTTTGTTCGTCAAAGTACAGTACTGTGTTTTGGAAGCATTGAACTGTACAAGATTGTTGCGTCCCCAAGCAGTGATAGCCTCCAGGTCTCTTGTCAGAGAAGAAGTCGTCGCTAGTCTTCTTTTTTCCAGCTCAGCGGCAGAGATCGGCTTGTCACTCTGAATTCCTGCTTGTAGAGTGCTGTCATCAGCGAAGCTGTGGATTGGGTTGATCGTGCAGGAAAGCAGGTCGTTGATATGTAAGAGAAACAGTGTTGGAGCCAAGACCAATCCCTGGGGAACACCCGCGTTGACGTTGTGGGATGAAGAGGAGAATCCGTCAATTACGACGGATATCTTGCAGCCAGAGATAAAGTCAGCCACCCATCTGCAAAGCTTTTCTGGGAGGCCGTAGGATGGAAGTTTGCTTAAGAGGGCAGCGTGCCACAACTGATCGAATGCTTTCGTGATGTCAAGAGCAACGACATGAGCCTCACCATGAGACTGGATGAGTTTACTCCACAGTTGTGTGACGTAAGCTAGGAGGTCCCCTGTGGATCGTTGGTGCCGGAAACCGTACTGCCTGTCGCTAATCAAGCTGTGACGTTCGAGGTAGTCCAGAAGCTCGCGATTTATGCACCTCTCCATCACTTTACTTATAACAGAAAGCAGAGCTATAGGCCTGTAGTTGTAAGAGTCGGTCTTAGATCCTTTTTTTGGGATGGGCTGTACATGAGCAAATTTCCAGTTTTCTGGGAAGGTGCCGGATTCATAAGATATCTGGAAGAGACGCGAAAGAACTGGAGCAAGCTCCGCTGCACATCTCTTCAGTACAATGGCAGGAATCAAGTCCGGACCAGAAGCTTTGTTGATATCGAGCGACAAGAGCACTCGTCTCACGGTCTTATGCCTGAATGTTACTTCCCGCATGGTGTGGGGAACCCTTTGAATTGACGGCACTTGGGCGTTGGTGGGGACGTCCATGGTGGAGTTGACAGCAAAGATCTTGGCTAGCACTTCCGCCTTGGCCTTTGAGTTGAATACAATAGTTCCATCCTGACACGTAAGTGGTGGAAGTCTACTGTGCGAGAAGTTCTTTTCAATCTGCTTGGCCAGCGTCCAGAAAGACCGACTGCCATTGCGCTGCGACATTACCCTTTGCCTAATTTTTATATCATTCTGGTTTTTGGCATTGCGAACCGCTTCGTTATATTTGTTTCTGGACTCGACGTCGGGTTGTCTGTTCTCTACAGTGGGGTTTTGTAAGTAGGTTCTGTGGGCCTTGATCTTCTGCTGGCGAGCAGTGTCACACGATTTGTTGAACCAGCCGTTGGACCCTGGTTTAGGAACTTTCACTGTGTGAGGGATGTATTCCTCCATTCCGACGTGGATAATTTCGGTTATTGAAGAACAGACAGTCGACGCATCCGCGTCAGTGAAACAGACATCTCTCCAAGGAAAGCTAGAGAAGAAGTCTCTGAGCCCCTCCCAGTCGGCATGTCCGTAATGCCAAGTTTTGCGGCCTGTGCGAGTTTCTGCTGCCACAGCGGCTTCTGACCGAAACCTAACCTCCACAACACCGTGATCTGAGTTACCCAGGGGGGACAGGACAGCAGTGCTGTAAGGGGCAGGATGCGTGGTTAGAAAGAGATCCAGCAGGCTACTGGCGTGTGACGAGACGCGGGAGAAAAAAGTAGGACTCGTCACCAGCTGGGTCAGCCCTTGAGTAAGAGCGAACGCTTCGACTGCACGACCTGCTGCATCGGTCTTATTTGAGCCCAACCAAAGCTCATTATGGGCATTGAAATGACCGAGAAGAACTACCTCTGAAGCGGGGTGATTGATGTTCAGGAAGTCGATCTGGACGGCGAGGTAGTCGAGTAGGTCATCCCAGTTATGGTTCGAGGGAGAGCGATAAAGGCAGCAAATAAATTTGGGTGATGTTTTGGAGTTTAGGCGAAGCCACAGAATGTCCTTTCGGTCTGATTCCAAAGAAAGATCCCTGGAGCAGGGAATACTTCTGCGGTTAAAAGCCAGAACTCCCCCGTTGTTTCTCAGATTGGAGTGCACCTCGTAGTTTGGGAAGTTGAGATGGTTAATCGGTGCAGTCTCTGAGATTTTTGTCTCCGCCAAGAAAAGCACGGCGGGACGATTGGATTGCAGGTAGTGATGAACAGCATCAATGTTGCTGTTGATCCCGCAGATGTTCGAAAAACAAATTATATCTTCGATGTTGTTCCCTCGAGCCCACCCTCCACCCGGACATTCCGAGAGTGGAGTGAGTTTACGTCCGGAGTTTTTAGTGCTCGAGGGATCCATCATCATTAATTTCTTTGTTTTGATAGATAACCGACTGCATAGCTTAGGTGTGGAAACATGCGGACATTTATTAGACACCCTGGGAAAAGCTAGCGGGTGGTACTGCCTCGGTCGACTGGTCCTTGTCTACCACCTTCTTTTTACGTGTTAGTGATGTTAAATAGACCTAAAGTGGCCCGTTGGCGGACTTGTACCGCCACCCGGCAATCGGTACTGAGGTATTCCTTTACGCGTGCACAATCACTTGGACGGGAAGAAGTTGTATACTGGATACAACAACTTCCGGATCAAGCATTTGCCACGGCCCTCGCTCAGTAGGGACCATGTGTTTTTCAAATGAACCAAATAAATTTGCGAAGTTAATTTCACTAAGCTATTTATTTTAATCCACCCGATTTTCGAGGTGTTTGCCAAATAAACCTAAAGTCAATTTCTTCAGACTTGTAGAGGCCTCTCGTAATGTTTTCGATCCTGATACTAATTTTTATAATCAAAACTCTCCAATTATACAGGGTGTTCCTTAATGATACGCGAATATTTAAGGGTGTGAATCTACATGGAAAATTAATGTTAGTTTGCTTTATAAACTATGGTCCAAAAACGTTTTCTTACAAGAACTCGGGGCGTTGACGTTCTAGAAAAAAATGGAAATTAATTAATATTTTCAGAACCGCTTCAGATATTTCACTGATATTTGGTACGTAGTGGAAGTTAATAAAGTTGCATATTTTCCAATGCAAAAATAATTTTTAGTTTACAATGGCGTGCGTACGGGTATTGACTTCGACATTTTTTAAGAAAAAATGGTACGCCAATGGTTTTTGCCAAATAAAAATTATTTTTGAATTGCCAGTTCAATTTAAAACAAATGATCTGTCTTGATTTGTTTTTCTTCGATGCGCCATTTTTGAGTAAAAAAAATGAAAACCGTTCTATTGTCCGAGAATATTAATGTAATAATTGAAGCATGCAATTTAGCAATAGAGGAGCAGGTGGTATTACGGCCCCTGCTGGTAATTTGGCTCCCCCTTTAATTTCATAGAACTCGGAGCACCATCAATGATTTTTATAGTAGAACACATCGGGTCCCCGCCAATATTTGAAAGCCAGTAGGAGATCGACTCGGCCAGTATTGTCATTCCTGTAGTATAGTGTGTAGTAAATAATTTCGTTAGCGATCGAGTTAACACGTTCTTGTCTCCATAGCTGGTTTAAAAGCAAGTTTATTGTGTTTTGTATGAAGATAGAAGGTTAGTAATAGCTGTATTACGAAGGTAGGTACGTTGAATAATTTTCCATTTTTTGTGACCTGTTGATGATACACCATGATTGTAATATGGCCTCCCATACCTGCTGAAATTATGGCCCAGGGGGCCATATTAAATGCATTGCCTTACTGATACTTTTATTCGTTTATGAATAATATGAACACTAAATGCGGCTCTTAATTTATTTCAAATTGTTGCTGATGCCCCGAACAAGTATGTCTACAAAGAGGGATAGGAACAGAAAGAGTGCCGATCAGATGACAAGGGCTGTTGAAGCCATACGCCATACGCACTAAGTCTATGGGTTTTACGAAGGCAGTTGGAACCTTTGGTGTGCCAAGAACTAACCTAAGAAAGCTCGTCCTTAATACCGAGTTCTCGCCAGAACTCGTCGCCGTTAGCTAGAAGGCTTGTGTAGCCTCCTTACCTAGAAGAGAAATTTTTTTTTTCTTTTAAAAATGATAAAGCAGGTCGAGCATGGTTGGATCATTTTCTTACAAGATACAGACAGAACAACGATGCGACTTGTATTTTTATGACTGGCGTTTGTCTGATGACCGGCAGGGCGAAATATGGGTTCAGTGCCAAAGCTGTGCGATGTGGGCACACAATGAGTGCTCTGGAGCCGAACGGGAACATTACATTGTGCGATTTTTGTAGGTAAGACCTACTTTGCACTGTAATATGCCCCCCCGGGGCCATACTACCTTCCTACTTCGAATTAATAAATGTTTGCAAGAGTCACAAGGATATATTTTTATGGGAACAGTTTCAATTATTATTTTTACCCATATATTACCACATGCTCGTAAATGATTAAATATTATACTGACACATAAATGTTAACGAGAACACATTAGGTTGTTTTGTTTACGTGCAAAAATGAAAATAGGGGGCCATAATACCACCTTCTTCTCTAAATACTACTCTAGAATATGTCACTGGCTTTTGACATCTGACAAGTCTCTGTTATTCAAATCTGTTCGCGGTGACATCTTTTTCATTATTTACTTTTTACAATCTTGTTAATAATGGTGAATTATTCAAATGCAGAAATGGCGGAAATGCATTACGTAGATCGCCTTGCCAACGGTAATGGTGAGCAAGCCGGACGGATTTATCCCGATCGTGCTTTGCCAGATAGTCGAACCTTTTCTAATATTCATCGTCGTCTTGTTGAAACTGGTTCTGTCCGAAAACGAACATCTGAAGGTAAATCTCTGAGTGTGAGAACACCTGAAATTGAGGAGGCAGTACTGCACGAAGTCGAAGAACATCCTGAAACGAGTACGAGGAAGATCGCTAGACACTTAAATATTTGCCATCAAATTGTTTGGAGAATTTTAGTGGATTTTTTGTTATATCCTTATCATATTTCAAGAGTACAGGTATTACTTCCTTGATTGTCCAATGCGTGTGACCTTTTGTCAGTGGTATCTTCTAAAAATTACACTAAATCGGCAATTTCATTCAATGATTCTGTTCACGGACGAAGCTAATTTTTCTCGAAATGCCATTCAGAATTTCCACAATAATCATTTGAGGGCAGACTAAAATCTCTATGCCGTAACCGAAACCCATTTCCAACACCAATGTTCGGTTAACGTATGGGCAGGAATTATTGGCAACCACTTTATTGGCCCATTCTTCTTGCCGGGACGACTTGACGGACAGAATTACCTCAATTGTCTTCAACAACAGTTGCCTTTGCTGCTGGATGATGTTCCGTTAGTAATAAGAAACAATATGTGGTACATGCATGATGGTGCGCCAGCGCATTTCAGTGTAGCGGTTCGTCATTATTTACAAACTGTTTATCCAAATCGTTGGACTGGCCGCGGTGGGCCCTAAGAATGGCCACCAAGGTCCCCAGACCTCAACAGTATAGATTTATTTTTGTGAGGCTCTCTCCAGACCCTAGTGTACACAAATCCCATTAACACTGTAGAGGAATTAAGAGAAAGAATAGTTGCACCTTGTGATAGAATAAAAAACACTCCAGGGATATTTCATCGAGTGCACAATTCCATGAGAAGGAAGGCGGAAGCATGCATACTAAATGAATGGGGCCATTTTCAACAATTTTTGTAATTATTTCGTTGGATTTAGTGTTATGTTTATGTTGTCAGTTGTTGTTCTTCATTACCCCTAATGTGTTTAATTTTTCCAATTAAATTAATAATAATTTTGCAAGTTACACAATAGAACGGTTTTTATTTTTTTACTCAAAAATGGCGTATCAAAGGAGAACAACTCAAGAAAGATCATTTGTTTTAAATTGAACGGGGAATTCAAAAATAATTTTTATTTGGTAAAAAACCGTTGGCGTACCATTTTTTTCTTAAAAAAATATCGATGTCAATACCCGTACACACGCCACTGTTAAAGCTAAAAATTATTTTGCATTGAGAGATATGCAACTCTATTAACTTTCACTACGTACGAAATATCAGCGAAATATCTGAAGCGGTTCTGAAGGTAATAATTAATTTCCATTTTTTTCCTAAAACTTCAACACCCCCAGTTTTGGACCATAGTTTATAAAGCAAACTAACATCAATTTTTCATGTAGATTCACACCCTTAAATATTCTCATATCATTAAGGAACACCCTATATCGAAAATGAGATGTGCTACGACGGCGACGTGTTCCAATCCGACGTGTGTGGTTCCAGCAGGACGGGGCGACCTCCCACACAGCCCGAGCAACCATGGACGTTATTCGCCCTCTCTTCCCTGGTCGCCTTATTTCCAGGTTTGGTGATGTTCATTGGCCTCCTTGATCTCCAGATTTATCCATAAGTCGCCCAAGTTGAGAGAGCAATGTTGGAGAGAGTCTACGTGAACTTCCAAGAACGCCTCCAGCGCTGCATTAACGATTTCGGCCACCACATGCCTGATGTGATTTTCCACACTTGATTGTCTCAAATGCTATTTCCTTGTGAAGCTGATTCCATCAATAAATTTGTTTTCGAGTAAAAATTAAATATTTTATGATTTTTTTAAAACCGTCCATCCTCTCTGCCGCACCCTGTATATAAATGCTTATTCAGTATTGTTACCTAAATAACGAAGGATACTCAATCGGAGGAAAAATTTCGATGAAAAAAAAAATCGTTTATAAATACAGCCACACTGTGACAGGAACAAATGCAAACTGCTAACCAGAGAGCTAACCTTATTCCCGAAACTTCTGTGGAGATTCATTGGCTTGTAACCGCTACTCGATATTTATTTACTTTAACATCACCATCCATCCCTAGTAGCTGACGAATCCGGACAAAAGTAAAATACATAGGGCGCCCCAACAAAATGTAAGTACGTTCAAAACTATCTTATGATCCGGGAACAAAAATTTGCTCTAGAGACCAAACTCGACCAATCAGAGTGCGTTTTAGTAGAAATGAATTTAATAAACATAGTTTATTTCTTCTAAGAGTCCTGCCAAACTAGCGAAATATAGAATAGGCTACTTGAGTGATATCTAATTTCATAGAATACATGAGTATTTCGTACAGTATTTGGCTTAGGAAAACGAAATATATCGGTTTCAATTTTTAAAAGCGTATGATGGATATTTAGAATACATGTTTTTTATTTTCAATATGAAACGGTGAAAATGAACAATAATGAACGTTATATTCGTAAAGGCAGAAACCTCAAATTTGCCGAAAATTGACAAATAGATGGTGATGATGTTTTACCTTCAACCCAACTCCTGCTGAGCTGAGAAACATCAAGACTTGTAATAACAGTGTATCTTATATAATGATCGTCATAAAAAGAAGGAATAAGTAACACACGTACATAATCTTTCTTTTCTAAGCTCATCCGTCATAACCTCTGCATGCTGTTATCTAATATTGCATTTTTTCTTACACTTCCGCAACGGAATCGTACTGTGGTGATGCCAGAGATAACGTCCAACTTGAACGAGATGATAAAATCTGCACAGAAAAATGTAAAAAATGTCCAGATCATAAGGTATGATCATTGCAGTACACAGTGTTGCGTATATTTATTTCCCTGGGCACTACAGCTTCCCTGGGATCTTTATCGATGTGCTTTTCAATTCTTGTACGGCACGATAACGATAGTTACTATATTTTTCATGTAAATTAGTAGAAGTCATGGTTGTATGCTTAAAACTGAAGAGGTTATGCTGTTGTCAGCTACTGTTTACTGACGCCAGAGCATGTTAATATACAGGGTGACTTTGAAGTTGAGTCATTAATTTTCAGATAATGATTGTAGAAGGAAGATAAACCAAAATATGTGTGTAAAAATAAAAAAAAAAATAAAAAAACAAGCTTACCCTGTTTTATAAAGTATCCTACCGACAAGTATTTCAGTGCGGATCTGTTCTTGGAGCACCGGCATACCCTCGCTGTGAGGTCTTAAGTCACCTGATTCACGAGCCCTTTGTACTACATTAACAAAGCATGTCCACAAGTTCAGAATTTTCGTAAACATGTGCCATTTTTTATTTCGTTTGAGCCACACAACAAATACCACTATTCACTCACGCGTTACCGACTGACACATTGACTGACATCGTGATAAACGTTTCAAATTCTTTCGCTTTTTTGTTTCCGATACGATGAACCGATAAGGCGGATTATATCCGTTGTTGCCAAATACGAGCACATAATATTGAGACAGGGCGGTTCTCAAACTTCTAAAGGGCTATAACTTTGTTTATTTAATTTTACCAGAAAAATGTTAAAGGAAAAAAACATTTCTTTTGATCAGATCTACTCACTGTTAAAATAAATGACTCATCTCAAGACCTACTTTAAAATAGTCAACTAGCGCTGTAATATGAGCCCTAATCCCCGTAATAAAACAAGAAATTCTCCATAATTCACCTGCTTTAGCTACCAAAACCCATTATCGGAGTAAAGGATTTACTTATTCTAATAAAAAGATTTAACTTTAAAACTCCCACTTCACGGGCGACAGCTAAAACGGATCGACAGAATGCCAGAGATATTAACTAAATTGATACAATGTAGAAAATTCAAATCACGATATTTTCGGAACGGAAATAGATGTCGAGTTGCGGTGTTTGGGAGGTTCTTGACGAACTCTTTGAAAGCACGTATACGGTTCGACAGCTATATTTCTTTTATTTATGCACTTATACGGGGTGAGCAAATGAAGTCACGCTTTTTTAGCAAAGTTTAGGGCTATGTGAGATTGTCAATTTTTGATCTTTGAACTATCCTAAAAAACTGATATCTCAAATTTTTAGAAACTTGGCTATAACTCAAATTATAGAATTTTTAACTTCCCGCAATAAATGTTTTTCGGCACGACCTCGTATTTTTTTTTAACAATATTAACTGTAGAGTTGGCTAGTATAATTTCGTTTTCTCAAAAATGCCTTAAAGAAAACGAAAGAACTGTGTAAGACTATTGGGAGGA